GTTTCAGATTTTTCATCAATTTTTTCTTTCTCTAGGCAAAAAAGTTTCCCCTCAAGTTGTGCTATTTTCCCCTGAGACTCTTCAAGATTCTTCTGGGTGACCTGGAGCTTTGCCTCCATGCTGTCTTCTTTAGCCATCATACTCCTCATCTTTGTTTCTCTTTTGTTTCTAAGTTTCATCAATTCCAGGCTTAGAATTCTCATATTCTTCTGGTTACTATCTTCATAAAACTTAGATTTTAGCAGCTCATTGGTTCTGGTTAATTCAATAAGCTGTTTTTCCAGTGAGGCATTAGTTGCAGAGAGAGATGTTTTTTCCCTGACTGCAGCATTTAGCTTTGCTTCCATCTTCTCCAACTCAGCTTCCAGTTCCTGGATCTGCTTGTTCTGAGCACCACGTTCCTGCACAAGAACACGAATCTCTTTTTCCAGTGTCTTTAAATCTTTATCATTCTTTTGAGATTCCTTCTTTAATCCCGAAGTCTTAAATTTTCTTGCTAAGGCAGGAAAGGTAGTATCTTTGTCAACATTAAGATTCTGTTGTGATTCTTTCTGTTTTTTAAATCTTTGTGATTTCTGGAAGGATACTGGTCCTCTAAATACATCTGAAGTTTTAACATCATAAGCACCTGGAGATGGGGCACAACCGGAAGGGTCATTGAATCGTTTCAGGGGCGCCTTCGGAAAGAATGTACTGACAAGCAGCTCCACAGACCAAAGTTTATTAGCGCTCCTCGGTTGCTTCCTGCTGTTGATCAATGTCTCGGTTCCTTGGCTTTTTAATCTAAGCTGTGCTTGTTGCCTTCCTTCCCTCCAGAAAGACCCCCGTGGAGAGAGGAGATGGATGGCTGCAATCTCACCACCATGACTCACTTTATCCCCACGAGGATCTCTGTCCTCCCCGAGGTGCGCTATCCTCTCTTTGTGGTCTTTGCTGTCACCTACCAGGTCACTTTGGTGGGAAACAGGGCCATTCTCTTGGCCATCGAGACTAAGAAAAATACACCCATGTATTACTTTCTGGCCAATGTGTCCCTCTTAGACATATTCTGCCCATCAGCTACTGTCCCCAAGATGCTGGACAACCTCTTGACTGGTAATCACAGCATTTCCATCCTGGGCTGTGCTTTGCAGTTGTACTTCTTGATAACAATAGTAGAGACTGAGGTCTTTCTTCTCAGTGTCATGGCTTATGACCAGTACATGGCCATCTGCTTCCCCCTCCATTACACCCTCATCATGACCAAGGCTCACTGTGCCCAGCTGGCAGCTGGGACCTGGGCAGCAGGGTTTCTCAATTCCCTCCTCCACACAGTGTCCACCTTCTGCCTTTCTGCAAGTCCAGCAGGTTAAACAGTACTACTGTGACATCCCTCCACTGGTGGCCCTCTCCTGCTCATCTAAATCCATGATAGACATGCTCATATTACTGGAAAGGGGGATTTTTGGGATTGGTGCCTTCCTGAACCCCTTTATCTCTTATATCTACATCATATCTGCCATCCTGAAAATCCGGCTGGTGGAAGGGAAGCAGAAAGCCTTCTCTACATGTGCCTCCCACCTCCTGGTGGTCTGTTTGTTCTATGGCACAACCATATTCACCTTCATGCGACCCTCCTCCAGTCAACACTCTCAAGCCAGACACACACTCATCTCCATGCTCTATGGGAATATCACCCAATGCTAAACTCCTTGATCTACAGCTTGAGGAACACAGAGGTGAAAGGGGCACTCAGCAGGGTCTTATGTCACTGAGCATGTTTACAGGAAATGCAATAGTAAAACAGAATGACTTAATGTTCACTTTTAAGTAGGGTGAATTCTTGGAAGTAATTTTTAATTGATACAGAATATACATATATAAAACATATGTAATTTCTCAGCAGTTTTCTCCTACCTTGGACGTCCCAGTTGCTTTTAAACTTTAGTCCCCTATCTGGTGATCAAATCGAGTATATACCTACCTTCTCTATTTCTTATTATAACTCCACTTTCTGTCATTTGATATCATATCTTATTCTTACATGCATTCTCTTTCCATTATCAATAAGTGTAATGCCCACATCATTAGTGAGATGTACATTGCTACTCTAAGATATCCTGTTTTTTTTTTCAATTGTCAAAGATCTGTTAGCGATTCTCAATACTTTCCAAATGAAAGACTTCATAGGTATTTGTGCCACAGAATTAGAGTATAAAAAATAAATGACCTTTAGACCTTTTCCAGTTCTGACATCCTAACACCATGTTGGACTTATTTGGTGAATTTTGTCTTTGGATATTTTAATAGTGTCACGATAAGGGCTTTGGAGGGAGCATTAGAGCAACTTTTCTATCTGAATCATGAAAGTTCCAAATTGGGAAATAAATTAAATCACACTGCAGATTTCCAAGTCATAGACGGAACAATGAACGGCAATATAGATAAAGATGGTGAGCAAAAATCATTAGATCCAAATTTTTGGAACTCTCAGAACCATAGATAGATATGCTCAACCTTCACATAATTTAGAACATAAAAATTTATTCACTCCTGATTAAAATGCAACATTAAATAAACCACATGTGCACCACTATTTTGCCATGTGAGGAAGCCCACTCGGATATATTCCCAGGGATACACCAGAGAAAAGGCCACAGCTCAGGAGCCAGAGTGTGAGGAGTGAAATATTCATGCCACAGCCACATGCCTCTGTTCACTCCAGGTTAATAAGTTTTCAAACAGAAATGCACTCATGGTTCCCAAGAGAATTATGCTGGCCTCTTTCTCCACTGTTTTCTCAGAGGACAACATGTAACATATTGAAAATTACTTGATGCTCTTTGAAATACTAAAGGGGGACTTCAGACAAGATCAACTCCTTTATCTTCTCCCTGATACCATGTATAATGGCATGAAGAAGCTATGTAGAAAAAGATGAACTGGGAATCAGCAGAACATTAGAAGTTTGAATCATCAAACAAGTAGGGGCACTGGGACTTCATAAGTCTGTAGGAAAGTAGGTGGGGGTAAAAAGCCTCCATGAGCTACGTGTGACCAGCTATTTCAAGTAATCCTCTGTTTTTGAAAAAGTAAATGTCAAGCAATTAGCTGAGACATGCAATATCTAAACTTCCTCAAAAGTATTTGCTTTACTTACTTCAAGATTTTCTTTCTCTTAGATTGCCAGGATAGAATGGCAGGCTCTGGGGGAAGTGTCAGACTCTCTGTCCCCAGAGTGTCCCCAACGGGTGTCATGCATGAGCCAGAATTGTGACTGTCCTGACACACACCATCAGGGACTGTGCAAATGCCTCGCCCTTTGTCATGGGCCTGGAAATAAATGTAAATCTTACAATAAACATTAAGAGAATCTCATTAAACATCCTTACTAGGAAATCTTAGCCTCAAATAATTAACATTGACTTGTCACTAATCTTGAATAGAAAATAATAATATGGTAACTGAAAGAAATATAAATAGCAAAGATAGTCATCTTTTTCATTGTTTATATGTGTGAGAAAGAACAAAATTGTAAAGCCCACTTAAACTGTGTAAAATAGGATTATATCAGTACTTAATTAAATGTCTTGCTGTGGGGTTCCAATGTGATTACCATTTAATATTTAAAGTAATTAGGAGAGTGCCTGTCACACACTTGAATACAATCAGTATTATTAATAGAATAAGCCATAAACCTGGTGTAGAGAGGTATGTTTCACAGGAATCATAAACCCAGTGTCGACATTTTTAAATGTAGAAAGACCTAGCACAAGAAAGGAATGATAGTTTCCTACCTCAGGAAATAAATTATTTCAATGCTTGTTGGAAAAATACATCTAGTCCTGCATCAAATATGCCACCCTAACTCTTGTCTGTCTTTAATATTTGCCAAGTGTGGGTAGGTTTGGCCATTGCAATGTGGGTGAGAAATAGATCATTGGAGGAAGCATTAGAAAAACTATTATTTGTCTACATTAGACAAATTCACATTTTTAATATGTCCTCTCAGAGGGCAGTTAATGTGAACAGTATTAAAAAATAAAGCACAGAATTCTAATTTCTGTGGGAAAAAGCAGTTCCAGAAGGATTTACCCAATGAGTTTATGGCTAAGGATGTAGTAAAACCTATAGTATCTTCTTGAAGATTGTGTAAAAATTCACTAACATCTAGTTCAGTAGTGCTGTGTGGATGGCAGAGACCCTCACTGTCAATAGCTCCTTAAAAGTCTCCAGGTTTCCCTGCTTCCTAGTTGCCTAGCTCCAAAGTAAATGCTTTACTGCTTCCATCTCAGCATTTTAGCTGCTCCAGGCAAATCTCCCTCAGAGAGGTCAAATTAAAGAAGTCCTTATATGAGGAGAGAAATCATCATTGCCTTGATAGCCTTCTTGGTTTGACTTACAAATTAATTCTGTAACACTCCGTGAATGGCACATTTGTAACATGGACTTTCTAAAAGTGTTACTGTCTTACCCATAATAATTGTCTACTCCCCGCTCTCAAGAATCTGAAAAGGCTTGACATTTGGGGCATTCATTTGAGATCCTATTTTTTTTCTTTGAGAAAGTAGTGACCAATAGATATTTTGTAGATATTGACATTTGTAATTAATGGGAAGTTATATTTTTCTCCATTCAACTAAATAATTTTATAGTGCTTTCATAAAATATTTCCTTTACTTCATTTGTCTCAGATACTAAAAAAATTCTCTTTGTAGGATACATTTCTGCTATTGTGATGCTATTCATCATTGCTCTGTTTCTACTAAACAGAGTCAATTTTCTCTCAACCGTTTAACTGCTTATTGTGATTCCATCTTGACACTAAAAATATGATTCAGTGTGAGAATCAGTGTACGTGGAAGATTGTGTGAGCATGGATAAAAACATGGGTGGGTAGATGTAGAAGCAGATTGTGAGTGAGAAGCAGTAGATTTTCCCCCATATTCCATATTCTTCTTTCATTTATCATCTATTATTACTATTTTTATCAAAATGTAATAAATCTATAGTCATTAAATTCCTGCTCACATTTTCGATCTTTCTACCATTAATTTCATTTGTCTTCATTAGTGTTATACATTTTAGCATAAAATTAAATGAAAAAGTATTTTTATTTTTTGTGGATAAAGGAGGGTTCACACATTTGAATTTGATGAATACAACTAAGCATTATAAGGAATACACCCAGTTTATAGATGGAAATTTCACAGGAATCTTAAATACAATCTCAGATATTTTTTAAAAGTCCTTTTACAAAGAAATATTCAGTGATTACTTTCTACATATTTGAATGGCTTTTAAATTGATTGCATTGTATCACTGATTTTATTTAGAATATTAAAATAATGATTCAGGATATATTTCATAAAGATACAGATTTCTTCAACAAATATATCAGGCCCTATTGAAAAGTATATTTTTTGTATTCTTTCTTCAATCTGCTAACAGCATATATCACGTTCTTACATATTAGGGATGCAAATTGAGGAAGGCTTAAATGTTAACATGTATATAGGGATTTGCTTCTTCCCACAGAAGTCAGAATTCTGTGCTTTATTTCTTAATACTCTTGACACTAACTCCCCTCTGAGAGGATATATTTAGAATGTGAATTTGTGTAATGTAGACAAACATTAGTTTTTCTCATACTTCCTCCAATGTCCTATTTTTCATCCACATTGTAATGCCCAAACCTACCCACACTTGGTAACCACACTTAACATGTAACCACAATGCATGTCTTATAAAAACAGAATAGATAAATTCATACAGGAATGAGACAGGAATTATTACAAGGAAGACAAACATGAGCCTGATGTGTGTCCTTATCTTCCTACGTCCCTTGTAGAATGAGTTCAGTGTGAATACAGTGTGAACAGACCG